ATAAAACCAATTTTTGGGAAAAATAAATTTGATTTGAAAACTGAAACGATTTGATGTCTAAACATTCGTTTGCTATCTGCATCATCTAAAGACTCTTGAACGATGTAGTGCAACAACTATTCAACCTGAGCTTTATTTCTCAAGCTATACACCAATAAAATTTCACATTGTCTTCACAAAACTTCAAAACTAAAAGTGAAACCAGTTTGTCATTGTAAGGGTGTGATTGCCAAGGAACCATGACTCATTAAAAAGACACTCGTAACATAAATTGCAATACTAATAAATAGAAATATGCAACTGAAAAGTAAAAGTGCCATACAAATTTATGAGGCGACTTTTTAATAATTTGCATTCTCGAATTATCTCTTCTTCATCTAGAAGCTCTTTCAATGTAAATTTCTCCTTGTCCAATACCGACTCAACCTAAAGGTAACAAAGAAAATATTAAAAAATTACTAACAAAAAAAAGGTTAAATGAGGAAAACGTAAACCATAATTAATTATGAAAAACCCATCATAAAATAGATAATTATCAACAAAATTGAAATATAAATGAACAATACATTTAGTCCTGACATGTATAGAAACACAAATTAATTGATCAAAGTTAGTGTTGACCCACTGAGTATTTAGTACAGCATAAGATTGACTTGTTTATCTCTAAACCAATATCAAACAAATTATTTTGCAGAGTTGAAAATGAGTTCAGTTTGATTAACTTTGTAATTTACATGTTACTTCATTTATCAATCATTTATTGGCTTAACTCCTTTATCTAATAAGATAAGCTTGAACAAGCCATGGATGAGCCAATCTCAAGTAAAGTTCAACTGGCTCAATCATTTTACAACTTTAGACACATATCATAAACAAATTTAACCAAGTGAATGACAAATGCTATAGATAAAACCAAATTCAGACCCAGGGGTACATCGGGAACAAAACAAAAATGAAATATAAAATAAATAAATAATAATAATAAAAGAAAATAGAGTTAATCTCAAATACAACATTAAGATTAAGGTTTGCACATACCATAACAAACTTGTAGCAAATAAAAGATTATTCAAAAATACTTTCCATAACGATAAAATTATTTTTAAGTCAATAGGGAAGGTAGAGTGATAGACAGTAAAAAAAAAAAAAAAAGTAAAGATGGAATTTTTTTCGCAAGTCGGCGTTTGTTGGCAGTATAGTTAGCATTTTCCCCACCATAATAGATTCGATAACCAGCTACCAAAGAAGAAATTTGATTTCTTGAATCAATTATGACAAATATATCAAAAGTTGTACATACTATGAAGTCATGCTAATTGCAATAGGAATTTGGCTTATAAATTATTCACCAAACCCCTCATGCCACTATCTAGAATCAGCTCATCATTTACATTACGAGTAATAACAGTAAAAATCAATGTAGAAGGTAAGAAACTCGAGTTGGGTAAGCATAAGTTACATTTTTGTCTTCTAGCAAGTATAGAACTTATGGACCTACCAATTGGTATTAATGATGAAAGTGATGCATTTATTTTTAGAACACATACTTGCATTTTTTAGTCAAATACGTTGAAGAGAATATCAAGTAGTAATATTTCTCAACCTTCTAGCAAGTATAGAACTTATGGACCTACCAATTGGTATTAATGATGAAAGTGATGCATTTATTTTTAGAACACATACTTGCATTTTTTAGTCAAATACGTTGAAAAGAATATCAAGTAGTAATATTTCTCAACATACAGAAATAGACATTTATCTAATAACAAGAATCATTAATTACATGAAAAAACAATATATATTGATTCCATTTAATACCATTTACAAAACTTATATTGTATAATATTTATAGGGCATCATTAAAATTTATCTATAGTACCTCAATAAATACCTAAACGGTAAATCAAATGAAAAAGGACTATTCTTTTTCTTCACTTGTTTGCTTCAACAATTAATATTAATCACATATTCATGGTATTCATAACTTTATCAACTTTTCAATTATGTGTTCATCAATTTTTATCAAAATCTACTAAAATTTTGATATTTAATTAAATCAAACAGAGACGATGTAGTTTATCAAATTTGGACCAGACATGTTCGTAAATAAATAAATAAGAGACACTAAAAATGGCTAAACATTCCAAGAAATGAAAATTTAAGTTCTCGCGAGTGGAGAGTGAGCCCCTATTTTTTGTACCAAAAAAAAAAAAAATGAAAAAACTCAATTTCTGTTTGGTGCATATTAATAAATAATTTTACACGTAACGCGTTTTTATAAAAATATCATTTTTAGTAAAATAAAAAATAGACACAAACATTACCTGAATTGATAACAGTAAAAAGATGGAATTAATGCCAGACTCTGACCACTTTAAGTCCAAAAAAAGCAAACTTCATGCTTTCTCTCTCCACAATTACACTCACTCCAACATTCTCTCCTCTCACTAAAATTATCCATATCAATAATTAACCAAGAAATAAGAATGAAATTTTGTTTCCACGATGATTCGCATTATGATACTGTCAAGTTTCAACTTCCTCTTTTGAATCACTGAGCACTCTCTATACTTTATTTTCCATTATATGATGCATATTAATAAATAATTTTACACATGACACGTTTTTATAAAAATATCATTTTTAATAAAATAAAAAATAGACACAAACATTACCTGAATTGATAACAGTAAAAAGATGGAATTAATGCCAGACTCTGACCACTTTAAGTCCACAAAAAGCAAACTTCATGCTTTCTCTCTCTACATTTACACTCACTCCAACATTCTCTCTTCTCTCGCTAAAATTATCCATATCAATAATGAATTATTCTACTCTACCAAATTTTGGTTCACAGATTTTGTACAGACTATCTCACATGAGGTGGGTCCCGAGGACCTAACTCATTAAAAAAACCCCCC